CACCTCATCTGGGAATACCTCAGTAAAATCCCGCACCACATCAATTTCAGAAATGACCCGCTCGGTCTCAACACTCAATGCAGCAAGCGTGATTTTTTCCGTCTCTAATTTCCATTTTTCTAGTAGTGATAACCATGCATGATACCTAGATTCAAGTGCTACAAATCATTTGACACTTGAAGATACCAATCTTATGGCAATGACAACTTATGATGATGATACAAGAATCAGAATGGTTGATGAGTCTTCTACCTCCATTCAAAACATCGATAATTCTCACTTTTACTCACCCAATTCCATTAAACCTTTCTTTTTGAAAAATCTTATGCATGTGTCAACTATTTTCGAAAATCTTTTAAGTGATTCACAGTTTTCTAAAGACAACAAAGAGTACTTTGAATTTCATCCTAATGTTTATTATGTTAAATATCGAGAAACTAAAAACACACTTCTTGAAAGGAAACTAAGACATGGACTATATGATTTTGAAAATATCCAATTTCTTGCAAATTTACAAGACTAATTTTGCAAATAAAACTTATTATTTTTCATCTGCATATATAATATAATAGTTACTATTGATAGCTTAGCCACTTGGCATGTTAGATGAGGACACCTTTCTTCTAAAGTTGTCTCATGTACTGAAGAAATGTAACATTGTTACTAATTTCAATAAAGTTCCTTCTGCATGCAAAACATGCTGTCTTGGAAAATTTCATAAGTTTCTTTCTCTGATTCTAATATTGTCTATAATGAACCATTACAATTAGTTTACTCAAATATATGGGATCTTCTCCATTACTATCAACTAATGGCATCAAATACTATATTCATTTCATAGATGCATAGAGTCATACACATGGATATGTCTCTTGAAAAACAAATTACAAGCATTAGATTGTTTTATTCACTTCAAAAATCATTTTGAAAATATCACTGGGCATAAAATTAAAACACTCCAAATAGATAATTGTATGGAATGCATTACTTTTCCAATTTTATTTTATTTTATTTTATAAATTTGATATCCAACATAGATTTTGTTATCTCTATACTCACGAATAGAATGGCTCAGTCGAGAGGAAACACAAGCATATTACTAAAATAGGACTCACTGTACTAGCTCATGCTTCCATGCCTCATAAGTTTTGGGGAGAAGATTTTCTTACTACCATTCATTTAATCAATTGCCTTCCTACTCCAACTCATAAGAATCTTAGTCTAATGAAACTTTTTTTAATCGAAAACCAGATTATCAAGCTCTCAAAACCTTTGGTTGGTCATCTTGTTCATTTACAATATCATTTAGCAAACATAAAATGGATTTTAAGACCAAAATAATGCATTTTTCTTGGATTTAGTCCTAAGGATAAAGGTTACGTTGTTTGTCTCTCACTAGAAAAAGATATATATCTAAAAATGTTAAATTAGATGAAATGAAATTTCCTTTTCAATATAACCAACATTTTATACCTACTATTGCATTGCTTCCTTATCCCTTCATTACTTCACCCACACCTTCTATTCCTGCTTTACCTTTTGTACCTATTATCCAATGCTTTATTTGTTTTTCTACCTTGCAACATGTACCTAAAACATTTCATGAACCAACATCACTCGTACCATATGTAACTAGTCCACAAACTATAAATCAGTTGCCTTGTTCAACACTCGATTCAACAACCACTAAAATGTCTATTCCATCAAATTGTGCACCTTCATATAGTGCTAACAATACTCATCCAATGATTACAAGAGGAAAAACTGACATTTCCTAACCAAAAGTATTTCTTGTTGCTTTTGCTCTTGACTTTGCCAACACTGAACCTAAGATTATAAAAAATTCTCTCACAAGTCCACAATGGAGAGTTGCAATGTAACACTAGTACAATGCCCTTCTTAACCATAATACTTGGTCTCTAACATCCCGTCCTCCTAGTAGAGAACCCATAAGATGTAATGGGTTTTCAAGATAAAGAGACATGCCAATGGTAACATTTAAAAATACAAGGCTATACTTGTAGCCAAGAGGTTTCATTAACAACTAGGTTTTGATTTCTTTTAGACTTTCAGTCCTATGGTCAAACCAACAATTGTTGTGTTGTCTTGACTCTTGCCATGACTAGCAATTTTCCAATTCAACAAATTGATATTGACAATGCCCTTCCTCAATGTGATTTGAATGAGGAAGTATATATAGTTCAACCTCCAAGTTTTGTCCAAGAAGATAGTACTTTTGTTTGCAAATTGAAAAAATCCTTGTATAGCCTCAAACAAGCTCCTAGAGCTTCGCTTCACAAGTTATAGAGTTGTCTTATACACCTTGGCTTTCAATTAGCAAAATAATATAATTCTCTTTTTATTTGGATCTCAGGTGCTTTCACTACTTTAATCCAAGTTTGTGTAGATGACATCTTGGTTACTTGCAACTTATCCTCTACCATTGTTGATCTTATAGTACTAGTAAACACTAATTTTCCTTTCAAAGATCTTGGAGGCCTTAATTAATTTTTGGGAATTCAGGCACACCATTCCTTTGGGGAAATTTTTTTAACTCAAACCAAATATATTAATGATCTTCTTCATAAAGCTAACATAAGTCAAGACAAATCAATGAAGAACCTTATGGTTACCAGCCTCAAACTTTCTGTTACTATCAATCCTAATGCATAAGATGGAAGTTTATATAGATCCCAATAGTTAGAGCATTACAATATGTAACTATCACAAGACCTAACATAGCCTTTGTTGTTAACAAAGTTTGTCAATTTATGCATTTTCGAAAAGACTCACACTGATAAACAGTCAAATGCATTCTTAGGTATCTCAATGGCACTACTACCTATGAACTAACCCTCACTAAGTCCTCAATTATGACTCTCTTGGCCTTTTGTGATCTTGATCAGGGCTTAGATCCATATGATCACAAGTCCACAACAGGGTACTATATATTTCTCGAATTAAATCCCATTTCATGGTCCTCTAAAAAACAACATGTTGTCTCAAGGTCTAGCACAAAAGCTAAGTGTAGAAGCTTAGAAATACTAGTACCTAAGATAACTTGGCTACAATTGTATGTTGTGATAATTTGAGTGTAGTTATGCTTGTTGCCAACCCATTCACTACAAGAAAATGACGATTTTGCGACGGTTATATACAATCAACCTCGCTCATCTGGCAATCAGTCATCTCATAGTGGTAATCATGGACATTCCAATGATGGTTCTAATGGTGGTAACCATGGCAATTCTAATGGTGGTTCTCGTCACCGTCGCAACAACTCTGGTCGTCGCAACTCTTATGTCCCTTGATGTCAGATTTGTCGTGAACAGGGTCATTATGCTAACAAATGTCCGGTTTACTGGTACCGGTCTTCTGAGTCTGCTAATTTGGCTCAGGCATTTGCTGCCAGTTGCTCGGTGGACACCTCAAACCAGTCAGATTGGTATATGGACACCGGTGCCACATCTCACATGACACCTTCTTTGTCTCAGTTGACTGATTCCCAAAATTATAATGGTACTGATCGTGTTTTTGTGGGTAATGGGACCTCTTTAAATATTACTCATGTTGGTTCTCTTTCTTTATCACATACTGTTCCTTTGTCAGATGTTTTGGTTGTGCCTAATCTAACTAAAAATCTTGTATCTGTTAGCAAACTGACTCATGATAATCATGCTAAAGCCATTTTTGTGGATGACTCCTTTGTTATTCAGAATCGAAAGACAGGCAGAGTTCTGGCAAGGGAACGATGTGATCAAGGACTCTATGTGATGAATCAAGGACCACAAGCGTTGCTTACTACTAGTTCTTCACTGCCTCGTGCCTCTTTTGAACTTTGGCACTCTCGTTTGGGACATGTTAATTTTGATGTTATTAATAAGTTAAACCAGCAAGGTTATTTAAATGTTTCATCTATTTTGCCTAAGCCAATCTGTTGCACTACTTGTGAGATGGCTAAGAGTAAACGTTTGGTTTTTTATGACAATAATAAAAGGGCTTCTGCCGTTCTTGATCTTATTCATTGTGATTTATGGGGACCATCTCCAGTTGCTTCTCTTGCTGGATATTCTTACTTTGTTATTTTTGTGGATGATTTCTCTCGCTTTACCTGGTTTTATCCATTACGACATAAATAAGATTTTTATGATGTGCTTGTTCGGTTCAAAGTCTTTGTGAAAAACCAATTTTCTCGATTTATTAAAGTTTTCCAAAGTGACAATGGCACCGAGTTCACGAATAACAAAGTACAAGATTTAGTTGCTTCTTCTGGTGTGCTTCATCGGTTCTCATGCCCGCATACTCAAGCACATAATGGTCGAGTTGAACGGAAACATAGACATGTTCTTGATATTGGTCTTGCAATGTTGTATCAGTCACATGTTCCTATTAGTTATTGGGTTGATGCTTTTAGTTCTGCGGTATATATTATTAATCGTGTTCCCTCTCAGGTGCTATCCGGCCAGATTCCATTCACACTTCTATTTCAAGTTGCGCCTACATATGCTAATTTTCATCCTTTTGGTTGTCGTGTGTTTCCATGCTTGCGCCCATACATGAAAAATAAATTTAGTCCTCGGAGTTCTCCTTGCATATTTTTGGGTTATAGTAGTCATCACAAAGGATTCAAATGCTTAGATCTGACCACTTCCAGGATTTATGTGTCTCGCCATGCTCAATTTGATGAAACTTGCTTCCCTTTTGCAGGTTCTCCTTCTTCTAGCATTGATCTTATGGTTTCTTCATTTTATGAACCAATCACAGGCTTCAAGTCTTCTTCGATGTCTGCTTCCTCTAGTCTTCCGACGAGACCACCACCAGTTACTACCTTGTCTTGTCCATCAGAATTATTGTGTTGTTAATTGTAGTTGGGTTGAATGGTAGTATACTAAAGATGTTGTTCCTTTTTGTAGACGATGACTAGGACCAACGAGCAGATAGCCCGTGCCATAGAGATGATGGCTATGGCTATGCAACAGCAAAATGCCTATTTTGCTAGGATGGAGGCTGAGAGGGCTGTAGCTGGTGCAGCAAGACCTACAGGGTCACAGGAAAGCCGGGATCTTGCTGAGTTCCGGAAGTGTAATCCTCCACAATTTGCAGGAGATGCAGATCCAGAGGTAGCTGACCGCTGGATCCGTGAGCTGGAGAAGATCTTTACTGTCCTGGGATGTCCTCTAGAGAGGAGGTTAGCAGATGCTGTGTATATGCTTGTGGGAGAGGCCGAGCATTGGTGGGGAAGCACTTATCATATGCTTGCTACTAGAGGAGTTGTAGTTGACTGGGAGTGCTTCAGGATGGTATTCATGGAGAAGTACTTTCCGGAGAGTGTAAGGCACGCCAAGGAGGCTGAGTTCCTGCGGTTACACCAGGGTGGGTTGTCAGTATCGGAGTATGCGATGAGGTTCGAGCACTTGGCTCGTTTTTATTCACAGGCTACTTTTGAGGCATGGAAGTGCAAAAAGTTTGCAGAGGGTCTGAAGTATGAGCTGAAGAAGGTGGTGGTGCCTATGGCCATCACCGAGTTTCCTGCCTTGGTAGAGAAGGCGAAGATTGTGGAGAGGTTAGAAGGGGGTAACCGTGTGATTAGAGCTACCGAGAGACCAGCTTCAGAGCAAATACCCTACCAGCTGTAGTGGGTCTGTCACCCCTCTGAGTCTCAGTCCTCTGCACACTACTCCTCTGAGTATCAGCTCTCTATGCATCTCTCCTCGGTGTACTCCCCTCCGGTCTACTCTTGGTGGGACAGTTGAACGACAAGTGGCCCATCTGCTGGCATCTGTAACATCTGCTCTCCGCGTGTGGACAATCCCTATCAAATGGGATCCACCACACCTGTAACATCTCAGAGTGGCACCTCCACTCTGTCTACCTCCACTAGCAATACTGAAAGATTGCCTACTGACAGGACCCCCTTGCTGTGATTGGGGCCTATCATAGGGCTTCCTCTGACTTCCACTTCCCCTCTCCATTCTCGTACCAAGAATATTCAAAATAATGAATTATTAGTGCATCTTGTTCCAACAACTAAGCAAACAACTTACATTCTCACAAAGCCTGTAACACATCCTATCTTTGAGTTGTGTCATTCCAAACTCAGTATGCTTGACTCAACACCCATGAGTTTGCAGTGGGTGTAAAGGGAGCAATAACAACTAAAAGTTAGTTATTTAGTTGAGGTGATTATCTACTATTGTGTGAAATATACACTATATATAGCTGATGTGTTGTATGTATTTCATAAAAAAAACATTTCTTTTCAATATTGAAACATCATTTACTTTCTCTCTCAAGGATTTTATTTAATCTTGATACTCTGATACCTTTACTCAAAACATATTTCTCAAGGTAGAGACAATTTTTTTTGAACATATTATATTTATTCTCTATGTTCTTTTCCTCTTTTATCTTAAATTGTGAATCATGTTCTTTCCTAAGCAATATATTTTATAATCTTCTCAAAGCCTTTTGTTATTACTAACATAATATTTTTGCTTTTTACATAATATTTTTAACTCCTCATTTTGAGAATTTTAACTCTAATCATAGACATGTGGTTATCCTTTAAACATTACATGGATGTTGATATTCTTAATAAACTATTTCCAAGTTATTATCTGATAATTGTTAAATATATCTACAATATTTTTTCAATTTAGGTAATTATTAAATATATCTTATGATTCAAAATCTTGTTTATGGCCACAAATACATAATTAAAGTTAATTTTATTTTTAGGATGAAATTTCTTAATATTAGGTAATTTAATAGTTTCTATTTTTGTGACATAGGAAAGGGGAACTTGAAAGCTACAAAGTCTTAAAAAAAAAAAATCCTAACATCGCTCCAAGATTCACGACACGCACTCTAAATGAGCCTTTTTCAAAGAATTCACTTAAAGTGATTAATAACTCATTTTGAGTCAGTCCACACAAAGACTGCCCTTGAAAGCTCATGCTAGCTCGCTTAACCAAATGACTTGCTTGCTCTAAATGAGCTAGAATTTGCTTAGAATGACCATGATGAACGCTCTAAGAAAGGCAAGTCAGAGACCATTCTTAGAAATACATGTTAGCTCGCTTAAGCAAAAGAGCCATTTGCTTTGTGCAAGCTAGAATTCAGTTAGAATGAGTCGACAGGTGCTCAAAGAAGGCAAGTTGGAAACTACCCCTAAAAGGATTGAGCAACTCACTCAAGCGAACCATATGGATGCTCTAAGCGAGAATGCATGAACAAAAATCCATTTAAAAGATTATAAATTAGGGTTTCACGAAAAGCTTAACATCTTAGTCATTTTTACGATAAGAAATTTTAGAGATTAGAGAAAGTTCTTTGTGAGAGGAATATTGTAATCACGAATGACTCGAAGATCCCTTTTTTGTTGTGTGTAATACTTAGCCATTAGTGGCTAAGTTTCCACTATTAAAGATTGATGTAGTTGTTGGAATAGGATAAACATTATGGGTCAATTTTTAGGTTCTTTACCTTAATACAAAGGAATTGCCATTTTTTTTAAGCAATTTAGAATTTTTCATCTAAGAAATTAAGGTTTAAATATATTTGAGAGTTATTGAATTAACTGTATATTTCTAAAATTGAATAAAAATTTGGGAGGATTTACATAAGGAAAGTTAATGAAATTAATCTTTGACTGTCCTTATTATCTAAATTTAAATTCCTCACTAATCCGTTGCATGTTTCTTACTTTTATAAATTTATAATTTTTTATGCATTACTTTAAAAAAATTTAAATCTCTTGAAGTCATTTGTTTACTACCGACATTAGATTAAACAAATATTACACCAATTCTTATGAATTTCATAACTTAGACTTCTATCTAATTTACTAACAATAATTGATATAATTAACAAATGCGTAATAATATCTAAGCCTCTTATCATTTAATGAACATATACTCGAGTCTTGAATCTTGATTTTTCTTATGTTAATTTATGAATCTATTGGTTAAATCTTAACATAAACTCTCAAGAAGGGATCAATGCATTTTTTGTGTAGTAAATTAAATCAATATCATTTCTGATGTAGTTTCTTAATCATTGACACATTATAAATCTTTCATTCATAGGAGTTTGGGACATAACGTATTGAATCGATGAAACCCTATTGGCTTTGACTTCATGGAAATCGATCCTTTCCATAGCCATCTTATTAGCCATTTAGTTGGTTTTTGTAATTATATAAAACTTAACTTTTTTGTTCGAAATTAGAAAAGTGAGAACAAAAGTATCACGACAATTCGAAAAAGGAAAATGTAAAAAAGATATTATGTACAAAGTATATATCAACCCTCTTGAACAATGTTAAGAAAACGACCAACTCAATCTCTCTCACACTTCAAAACTTAAGCATGTCCATTCATAATTTAAACATTAGTATTTGGAATTCATATGACCCATTTAAAGTCCAAGGCCCGAAGGATGCCAAACAGACCAAGCTAAATGAAGATGGACTTTGAAGTACTAGTTTACACGACTGGAGATGGCCCATTAGTGATCCAAGAAGGAAGACTTAAAATCCAAAATTCTCACGTGAATTATACATTGTTTCTCAAACTCACTTAATATCTATTTCTTTATTGTTAGTTATTTATTATAAATAACAAATTATGTAAATTTTGCATCTCATTAAATGAATCTCTCCTAATTTAGTGGTAATTTAGACTCACCAAAATTTGTGATTTTTAATTACTAGCAAGAAAAGGAAAGTACTAGATTGACACTAATATTTCTCAAAACTTAATTAGAATGCAAGAGTCGACCAAACGTGTAAAACATTTTTAGTTGTTAAAGCTAATCATTCCAACTAAAATTTTCTTTCCTTTTAGAAAAGGGTGTAAAACATTGTAATGAAGAAGAAAATTTCAACTATATTGACACATCAAACTCTACCAATCATCTCATATCAAAATAAAATTAAGATCCAAAAAATTCAAAGTAATCCTATATAATATAAAAAATATCGACCAACATAATTAATTCAAGACTTAAAAAGACTTGTTGATGATATATAGTTTCTTTTCAGACGAGTGGTAATTAAAGTTGTATACAGATAGTTTGAAGAAAAAGAAATAAGCCTTAATATAAAGGGAATCAGTATACCTTTTGTCGTTAGAATATATATTTCGGGTGTGCAAGTAACTGTCCGAAGGTCATGCATGACGAAGTTAGGGAAGCTTTCAGTGCAGATAGGGCATAAATCCGACACTTCGCAACAAGTTCCATACTAGTTCTTCTGCTTTATGTTTTGTTCTTTTCAATAAAGTGAAAAAGTGCATTCGGTTTGGTCCACTACACATGAATCACTACTCTTTGAACTAGTAAGTGTATATGAAAAAAAACACACGGACAAATTGAATTGGTCAATGTGTAAAATGAATATATACTATGAAACAAATTAAGTCTTTCAAATTAATTTTATTGAGAAATATATACAAGAGTTACACTAGTGATTTGTCTAAATTCATCAGAAATGGTATAGTAACTGTATCACTTATTATTGAACTATTTATACAATTTTCAATATAAGGGCATGACGAAAAATATTCCTATCTCTGGGTTATTTTCTGTGAATTTGCAGCCATAAATGTTGAATCTTCCTCTCTTTGTGGAGAATAATGGTGACTCCTAATAACAGTAGCATGTAACAAATGGCATTGCAGATATAGATAATTCTAATATTGCTAGATAGTGACATCCTGAAATTTAAAGTGTAAAAGTGCAAGAATCTTCTCTTTTTTTGGTTCTACTTATATCTTGTACTTTTTTTTAATCAGTCAAAAGAATATTTTATTAAATATAGGTATAAGTGTATCTAAACCCTTTTAGATACTTAACTAAACTTACATAACTAACTAGCTCACGACAAACTTAACATGCAAATCCCGCTTTATACTATTAGCAACGTGTCTCATATATTATAAATAATTTTCTGCTATCACACATATTTTGTCCTTCTATCCCTTTATACAATACATAAGATTCATGGACCATTCAAAGAAAGAGAAGTCAACCTGTTGGAAATCTATAACCAAGATCTGTATCTAATTAATTCAAGCACACCATTAACTGATATCTCATACTTTGCGTAAAAGCAAGAAAGAGGAAGCATTTTTGACCTTTGAGGACCACTATGTTACTGATCAGAGTACGCCTCCCCAATGGGGTAGTAGACTACTCTTAAGGAGACTATGGGCATCAAACAACTTTTAGTTTTTATAAATACTATATTAACGTCATGAATTAGGTACACATTTTAGTATATGCTTAATTTCACTTCTATATGTCACAAATCAATTTTATTACATCTAAAATGTTTAAAATTATGTTTATAGCATATTTGACTATTAGTAAATTGATTTGAAGATGTCTAAATTCATATTCAAATTAAAGTAATTATAAGTAGTTTCTCTATGAAATCAAATTAATTTTGGAGTTTTATATGTTATGATTTATAATTATACATTTAAAATCAATTTTGATAATAAATTTCTAAATAACATTTAATATAAAAAAGTTAAATCCATATCCTTTGTCATCTAAATAAAAATGACATTACTTTTAACTTACCTTTACTCAAAATCAATTTTACAAATTCACATTGATTTTAGTTACATAT